GTGTATTGGAGTGCCACTTCCTTTTCCCTTCATTCAGTGTTATTAAGCTTGCACTTTTTATGTAGGGCTGGCAGCTGAGAAATGGCTTCTAATTTTGGTTTGCATTATTCAGATTATTGGTGAAGTTGAACATCTCTTCTGATTGTTTATCAGTAATTTCCTGAAAATTGTTTTTATTTCCAGTTATTTAGTTGTTTATATTTTCTTAATGATTTTTAGAATTGTTTTATATGTTGAGTTAAAATTATTAAAAGATAAAAAGTATGACTAGAATGGAAGTGGTTTTGTGTGACCCCTACTAACTCCACAAACAGAAACTGGCCCCATCAATGTTTATAGCACAAAACTGATTTCTAAGAGGACAGGTACTCCCTCACCTTCTACGTTCTAAAAGCAACCACGCCTCCCTGGTTTCTCATTGGGTCCTTTCTGTTTTGGGTCCTCTGATTTGCTGCAATGACCACACAAAACTCATCCACATTCACAATTATGGAGTTTATTGGAGAAGTAAACAGGTTCAATTTGGGTTTGAAACAGAAGCAGTTTTTTCAGTGAGGACAGCTTCTCAGACATGCACACAGGCCCTTTGACCTTCAACCTCTTGACTTTAGGTCAGTGTTAAAAGGCTTGTGTAGTCCTGCCAAGTATGATGTCTTGGCCCCTGGCTCCGGCTCCACAGGGTAACAGTCCCAAGGTCAGCTGTTTCACCTTGTTTTCCACTGCTGCTGTTGCTCTTGTCTAGGTCCCAATCTGACTCGCCCAGGAATCCCTGGCCCTGAAGGGACTCTCAATGCATTCTCTGCTTCTTTGTTCCTGGTGGCAAGATTTCTAATGCTTACTACTGAGCCTGCTCGATTTAAACCTGGAAGGATGGTAAAACTAGCCAATCCCCTCAGGGAAAGACTTCATACCCTATTTGTGTTCCTACCCAGCCATGTGACAAAAGTCAAAGGCAATTGCTTGTTATTTTTGAAGAACAATCAACCAACTACACAGTTACCATCTAGTGGACAACAGGACTGTCTCATTGTGATAGAAAGGGTTCACTATTTAATTTTCAGAAGTCAACCTACAGGCATTTCCAGTTTGTCTTAGTGTGGAATCTCAACCGAATTTTTTAAGCATTGTAGCAACGCATTTTCTTCACTGACAGGATGAGTGCATGGTGATGGTTGGGACCTGAGGTTTTACATTTCTCATAACTTCCTAACGGATTCTAATGCTGCTGGGCCAGGAACTGACATTTTATTGCAGGGACACAAAGTTAATGGGTATCAGGACAGATATGGTAGGCTACAGAGGAGGTTTGCAGCATTGTGGATTTTTATGCTCAGTGTATTTTACTTGGCTTTATTCTACCTTCTAATTTTAGACTATGGAGGATAGAAGGAGAATTGATGCCTTTGAGCTGTGATGCTGGACTGCCAAGAAAACAAACAGATTCATCCTAGAGAGGGTTAAGCCAGGCTGCTCCTTGGAGGCAAGGATTCTGGGGCTTTGTCTGACATACTTTGGACATGTAAGGAGGGACAGGTCCTTGGAGAGGGACATCATGCTTGGGAGAGTGGAGGGACGGCGCAGGCAGGGAAGACCCTCTATGAGGTGGATTGATTCAGTGACTGGGGTAATTGGGATTGGGTGTGTCAGAGGCAGTGCGATTGGCACAGGATAGAGCAGTGTTTATGGCTGTTGTACATAGGGTCTCAATGAGTTGCAAGCCACTCAACAGCACATAACAACAACAACAATTTTAGACTTAGCAACAATTTAGTTTTGTATGTCTTTCTAATCTTTCTCAATTTACTACACAAGTATAATAATTTTTTTTTCTAGAAAGACTTTTTCACAGATTTATAAATTTCATCTGTAAAATCTCTGTCTGAGAGGGCTGCTTTGGGAGTGTAAAGTACTTAGATGATAGTAAATGTTCACCAAGGGTTGGCTGTTATTGTTATTCTTATTACCGTCCTGATTTAAGACATGAGCCTTATTCCAGTATACCTCATTAGCTCTTCGCTGGCGGTGCTGGATGATGTGTTTGTACAGCTACTTTTTCTATGTGTCCTTGAGTTCTCCACAAATATCGTTGGGCTTTTTTGTTTTGTTTTTTTGTGGGTTTTTTTTTTAAGTGCAGATAGTGTCAACCTGCTTATTTTGCTTTTAAAGGGAGAGAAGCATAGAAAGACTGGGTTAGCTTCTACTTCTGTACTTTAGAAAACCCGCCAGAAACTATTGTTCCTTGAATAAAGTGAAAATCTTTTAAGAGTTACTAAGAAGTTTTTGCTCTTTTCTGCTTGTTTCATATAATAATTCTTGGCATATATGTCACTGAGCCTTTGTCCTTTCGTTGAACTTAGAAATAATGAATTTTTGGGTAGTTTTCTGGAAATTTGAATTTGGATGCAATAAAAAGAAAGACATGTAAAGATGAAAAAGTTTGAAGCTAAATGTTAAAGATTTCACTCCACCAATGCTTTCAATAATCTTAAACAAAATGCATCCTTTATATGGTTGTTGACTATATTAGCATTGCTATTAATTACAAAGGGAGCTCTTGTGGCCCCATTAGTAGGGAGTTGTGCTGCCCACTCAAAAGTGGACAGTTCAAATCCACCAACTCTGTGAGAGAAAGATGAACCGTCTGCCCCCCATGCAATTTACAGACCCTGAAAACTTACTGGAGGATCAGCTGTGAGTTTGTTCCATCTCAACAGCAATAAGATATTTTTTATTAATTAAAAAAAACCAAATTATGTTGTTGTTATGTGCTGTTGAGTCCCCTGTGACCCATAGTGACCCTATGTACAGCAGCTCTGAAGCCTGCCCTGTCCTGAACCAGTCTCACTGATTCTGACACACCAACCCCCATTGCCCCAATTATACTTTATATTTTTTCTTTTCTGTGTCAACACTTTAAAATGTGAATTATACTGGTATCAAAGGCTTTGGTACCCAACATAGAGCAATACATGGTATATTTTGTGAACACTGCTCATGCAGTTTACATGAACTTTGGTGGTATATTTCAGAGAGAATTTCATTGGTAACCAAAGACCACACCTCTCTGGTAGTCCAAATCCAGCTGTGGTTCTTACTGAGCAGTGGATCTACTCTCTCGCTATTTACAGTCTCAGAAGCCCAGTGCAGGGTCAGTCATGAGTTTGTTCTGATTTGACAACCATGACTTTTTCTGTAGGGTTGGTTTTTTTTTTGTCTAAAATGATTTTGTGTTTATCCTTAGTTCCTTAGAGATAACTTTACATTCTTGGAATTTCCAGAATAACTGATATGCTTTTGTTAACAGTAAGCCTCCAGGTCTTCAGGCTATACCTGTGATTTTGTGCTAAAGAGGTGACTCAGATAGGGGCTGGGCAGACTTGAAGGGCCACCTCACGATGTCAGCTCTCCTGGAGGGCTAGAGTGGGAGCAGGGCAATGATACAGTCCACCTTGTCTATGTAACAAGTGTCCAAAAAGGGCTCCCCCGGTTTCCTTGCTGGGCTTATTGCTGACCCAACTGGGAAGGTAGCTAGTTCCTTTTGGGAAATGGAAGTTTTGTGCCGAGAACCCTCCCTGACTTTTCCTCTATATCTCTTCATTTGTATCTTTTTTGCTGTATGAAAGTTGTAATTGTTATTTCCATGAATTGTTCTAGTGAATTATTGAGCCCAAATGAGTAATGGGAGTGAACACCTCCAATGTCAGGGGCCTGGGAATCCTGAATGAGGGCACCAAGAAGGAGTTGATGGAACTTCTGAGTTTGCATCCTGCAAGCCAGTCATGAGAATGTTGGGGAAGTCACAAGATTGCATCTAGTGTCTGAAGTCTTGGGCAGACAGCATTCTGGAATACTGTGCTTTTAATATGTGAACTCTAACCTCCAACCGGGTACAGTCAGAAGAAAAAGTACTATAAGTGCGACTGGTGTCAGAATAGAAGTAGCAGAGATCTGAAACATATAAGGGACCTCTCCAGAGTACTTTCAGTCTGGAGCCTAAGGTGCACCTGACCCAGGCCATGGTTTTTGCAATTACTTGCTATGCATCAGGAAACTGGGCAGTGACTAGGGATAATAGAAAGAGATTTGATGCCTTTGAGCTGTGGTGCTGGAGAAGAGTATTGAATATACCATGGGCTGCTAAGGAGAACAAACAGTTTTGTCCTGGAGAGGGTTAAACCAGGCTGCTGCTTGGAGCCAAGGATTCTGAAGCTTTGTCTGACATACTTTGGATATGTTGCAAGAAGGGACCAGTTCTTGGAGAGGGATGTCATGCTTTGGAGGGTGGAAGGACAGTACAAGAAAATCTTTGATGAGATGGATTGACTCAAGTGACTGGGGTAAAGGGGTCGGTGTGTCAGAGACAATAAATTGGCTCAGGATAGAGCAGGGTTCACAGTTGTACATAGGGTCGTTATGAGTCACAAGTGACTCTATATCACATAACAACAACAACAACAATCCCTCTCTGTTGGACACTCTGGCAGCATAGTCCATAGGCAATGTGCTACAGATTCATGGGTGGCTCCATCTCTCTGGGAATTTGAATCCATGAACAGCTCTGCAGAAGAAAGAGCGGCAGTTTCCTCACTTGTAATTTACATTTTCCCTAAAACCCGATGAAGGGTTAACTATGAGTGGATTCCAGCTCAACAACAATGAGTTGCATTGAGTTGAATCCCGCTCTAGAGGAGTCCTTGAGTGATAGAAATGTTTACGTTCTCAACTACTAGCCAAAAGGTTGACAGTTTGAACCTACCCAGAGACAGCATAGAAGATAGGCCTGATGATCTGTTTCTGGCACTATAATCTTGAAATCCTATGGGACAGTTCTATTCTGCTCATATGGTGTGGTCATGAGCTGGTCTTGACTTCATTGACTAAGGGCAATTAGCAACAAAAATCCCTCTGAAGGTGAGAGGATTCATTGCTGGGAGAGGAATAATGGATGTTGGTTTCTTACTTGTCTCATAACAGTTGTGCTTTTCTTACTCTTTTTATAGATGGTACAGTTATTGTTGGAGACGTATCCTACAAATTGAAAACCCCTAAGAATCCGGAACTAGTGCCACAGAACTACAGTAAGTAATGTTTATTAATTTATTGAAATTTTCTGTTGGGGAATTTTCAAACAAACATAAGACCAGGCAGTATAGCTTGACCTTGAGCTACAACACGTAGCAGCAGTACGCCAATCTTGCTGTACCTGCCTGCTGCTCTAAGGATTTGTGGCCTTGGAAACCCAGGGGAGGGTTTCTGCGAGCTCAAATGACTTGATAGAGGGGCTTGGTTACTCCATTGTAGAAATATGTAACTTTTAAAAAAATTGTTTATCTATTCTTTTGCTCATGCAAACTTGGATGGTTTGTATATCTTGACTGCTATGAATGAGGGAGGTGCTGAACAAGTCCTGAATGAGTCCTCTGGTCATAATTTCCCTTCTATTGATAAAATAATTAGGGATTGAATTCATGGGTTGTAGGTAGATACCTATTTAACTTTCTAAAAATTCCAAAACAATTATCTAATAAAGTTGTATAATTTTATGCTTTGACTAATAGTCTCGCTTTAGATTCTTGCCAACCTTTGTGTAGTCTTTTTATTATTATTCTAATAGATATTAGACTCATTCTACTAGATGTTAAATTAGAATTCATTATGATTTTTAAAGTAACTGCTTTATTGAGATATGACTCATGACCATAAAATTAACTTGTAGAAATTGTGTAATTCACTAGTTTTAATAAGTTCACAAGGAAGCTCTGGTGGCCTAATAGCAAGAAGTGGCACTGCAATCCCAGAGGTACGTGGTTGAAATCCACCAGATGCTTTGCTGGAAAAGGAGGGGCAATCTCCTCCTACCAGTTAGATCTGATTTGATGGTTGTTGTTGTTGTTATGTGCCATCTAGTCGTTTACGACTCATAGCGAACTTATGTACAACAGCCCTAAACCCTGCTCTATCCTGCACCAACCACACTGCCTCTGACACACACCCATCCCGATTACCCCAGTCACCGAATCAATCCATCTCATAGAGGGTCTTCCCCTCCTGCGCCGTCCCTCCACCCTCCCAAGCATGATGTCCCTCTCCAAGGACCCGTCCCTCCTGGCAACATGTCCAAAGTATGTAGACAAAGCCCCAGAATCCTTGCCTCCAAGGAGTTGCTTGGTTTAATCCTCTCCAAGATGAATCTATTTGTTTTCCTGGCAGTCCATACTCTTCTCCAGCACCACAGCTCAAAGGCATCAACTCTCCTTCTGTCCTCCCTAGTTATTGTCCAACTCTCTGATGCATAACAAGCGAGTGCAAATACCATGACCTTTATCAGGCGCACCTTAGTTTCCAGAGAGACACCGTTGCTCTTGAGTACTTTAGAGAGGTCCCTAATAGCAGACTTTCCCATCGCGATACGTTTTTTGATTTCCTGACTGCTGGTGCCAAGAGTGTTGACTGTGGAGCCGAGCAAACTGAAGCTGTGAACAATCTCAATCTCTTCGCCATCCATCCTGACGCTGCCAATTGGTCCAGTGGTGAGAATCTTTGTCTTCTTGACATTGAGCCTCAGTCCATACTGAAGGCTGCAGTCCTTGACCCTTCGCAGCAAGTGCATGAGGTCCTCCTCAGTTTCAGCAAGGAGGGTTGTGTCATCTGCATAACGCAGATTGTTAATAGACCTTCCACCAATCCTGATGCCACAATTCTCCTCATAGAGCCCAGCCACTCGGATAATCTGCTCTGCATACATGTTGAAAAGGTATGGAGACAGGATGCATCCCTGGCGTACACCCTTCCCAATTTTGAACCATGCAGTGGTACACACAAAAAAATAATAAAATTTAAAAAAAAAATTCACGGAATTATTTTACCAGCACCTCTGGGATTGCAGTATAGCTTCTTCCCACTAGGCCACCAGATCTCCCTCAAGCATTATATTTTATGTAATTAATTACCAGTGGACATTCCCATCATTATCTTGTCTTTTCACCTGAATCCTTCCCATTTTGCACCCCCCGCCCCCAGCTGGTTAACTCTGTGGTTCTGCCCCTACCCGTCCTCAGTCCTCTACTCTCACCCCTTCCCTGTTGCCTTTAAGGAAGAATGGGTTTTCTTACTCTGTCATGCTGGTGGCACTTTCCTTATGGTGGTTTTAATTTGCATCTACCTGATAAATAATTACCGTGAGCATATTTTTAAATATGGAAACATTTATGTAAAAGTTTTTTCTTTTTTAATTTTCTATATGCCTTAGCTTATTTTTAAATTTTTACTTTTATTTGTGTGAACATTTACAAATCATGTTGGTTTTTCATGCAAGATGTTAAAAGTTTTTTACCTTTGCCTTTTGGGCCTCTTTCCTATGAAGTGTTTTTTATCTATGTTTAAAAAGTATTTTTATTAATGATTTGAAAAAGTTTTTAAAAATATACATTTGGATATAATAAATATACACATACACAGATAGGTGTAGGTCAAAGAAAAAAGAGCCTTAACACAATGGATTGGTATGGTGACTGTAACAATGGGCTCTAGTGTGTCTTGGATTGTGGGGATGGCGTAGGCTAGGGCAAGGATTGGATCTGTTGTTCATAGAATTGCTGTTAGTCATAGAGAGAGCTCTGTTGGCCTAGTGGATAGAAAGTGATGCTACCAAGACAAAGAAGGGTGATTTTAATTTGCGGCTCTCAGGCCTGGTTTTAATTATTTTTGGTCAAACATTCTTCTGAGTGGTATAGCACTGGTCTGTCCATTTGCTGTACAGAGGTAACCTGTGGTTAATGTGATGCTAACCACTGTGACACTGATGTGTCAAATGTGATAATGGTTACCCAGGTGGACAGTGTTTGGTGAAGCTCCCTAGTTAAAACAGGCTTGGAATCAGGAGTGGTGTCCACCTCTGAAATAGCTTGCCTCCAGAGACTCTATAAAGGTGTAGAAATGACCAAAGTTATACAAGTGTTCAGGTCTTTCATTCATAGGGTCGCTATGAGTCATCTACAACTCGATGACACTTAACAACATGTATGTATTAGGAATACTTTTTCTCAGTCTATTGCTTGCCTTTTCATTTTCTCATACCACAGACTGCCAAAAGAATGAACAAATCTATTTTGGAAGAAGTACAGCCAGAATATTTGTTAAAAATGAGAATGGCAAGACTTTATCTCACGTACTTTAAACATATTATTGTTGTTGTTATATACCATCAAGCAAAAACTAACTCATAGCTGACTTTCCAGTGATATTTTAGAGCCTGTAAAGCAGAAGAGAGAGGATTTGAACTGTGTGTCTTTCAATTGGCAGCACAACTCTTTACCTCTAAGCCACCAGAGCTCCCCATCTGGACAGGTTATTAGGAGAGAGCAGTAAGATACTGCTCTGGCAATGCAAAGGTACGTGATTTGAATCCAGCAGCTGCTCCATGGGAGAAAAATGGGCAGTCTCCTCCTGTGTGCAGTTAACTGAAAGTCCACCGGAGGGTCAGCTATGGGTCAGTTAACCCTCGATGGTGCACAAAAACAACATTCCCTAGAGAAGGATATCATGCTTGGTAGTGGAGAGCGAAAAAGTGGGAGATGCTCAGCAAGATGGAATGACACAGTGATGGCAACAATGAGCTCAGATACAGCAATAATTATGAGGATGATACAGGATCACACAATATTATATTATGTTGTATATAATTTTGATAGTTATTTGGAACCAACTCAGTGGTACCTAATGAAAACATCTTTTGGTTATAATAACTTATATTCAGTCACACATTTGTTTTTCATTGCTTCTTGTCTTTGAAATCTTTACCTACTCTAAGGTGAAGATAATGCCAGTTTTCTTTTTCTTCTTTTTTTTTTGGTTTGTATTTTTGTTTTTATTTGTATAGGAATGCAACTCCAAAGCTAAAGAATAAGGTAAATAGTTTTTCTGATCTTAAAGATGTGTCTTCAATGTTATTTTTTTTTTCTGTTGAAATCAGTTTTTTTACATTTATTATTAATTTCAGTGAAAATTTATGAGACTTTGGATTTCCACTCATTCATTGTTGCACTTTTCTCCCCTCCCAACCCTCCCCCCTAGTATACTACCCTCTTGGAAAAGTAAAAGAAAAATTATTTCATTGTTTTACAATCCCTCCCCTCCAGGCCCACTCCACTATGCAGCCTTTGCCAGTTTTCTTTTAAAAGCTTTGTAGTCCTTGTAGCATTTCTTCTCAATCATAAAAGCTTTTTATAGCAGTTCTGTTGTATGTTTGCTAGATATGAATTCTCTGTTTTAACCTCTCTAAAATGTTTTTCATTTTCAAAAGATAAGTTTTGAGATATGGAGTACCAGTTTTTACTTTTTAAGTAGTACTTTAAAGATGTTATATTCTATTGTTTTCAATGATAAACCATTTATTGTTGTTGTTGTTATGTGCCGTTGAGTCACTTGTGACTCATAGCGACCCAACAGCCCTAAACTCTGCTCTGTCCTGTGCCAATCGCACTGTCTCTGACACCTGTACCTAATTTGGTACATTTTGAACACCTCTCTCCTCTTCATTTAATATCCTTCTTTCTTTCCCTCCCTCTCTCCCTCCCTCTCTTCTTTCTTTTTCTCTCTCACTTCTCTCTCCTCTCTGTCTTTCCTACTTTCCTCCCTCCCTCCCGCCCCTCCCCCTCCTGCTCTCTCCCCACCAGCATTTTCGCTTTGGTGTCCCCAGGTTGTTTTTGTTTGCATTTATCTTCAGTGGGGTTCTCTGGTCTTCTTCACTTAGTAAGAAAACCTGTCTTGCTGTCAGAAGCCACATCAGTGGAAGCCAAGACACCATGAGAGGAGTTTTCTTCAGCTTTTTTTTTTTTTTTGCCTACCACACTTTGCCTCACATTAGCTAAAGACTTGAATTGTCCTGGAGGAATTTCTGTTACCTTTTCTGGCCCACTTCTGCGTTCAGTGGAGTAAGGCTTAGCAGCAAGATCAGATCCAGTATATTTCAGGAAGGCAGTTTTTCGGCTTCTACCCTGCTTGTGGCTTTCAGTGTACAAAACTCTGTACTTGGTGAAGGCCCATGGAAAGATGTGGAAGGATAGGTTCAGAATGTCTC